GCGGCGGCGGCGGCGGCATGGATGCCGTATTTGACGCCATCCGTTCCGGCGCCTTTCAGCTGCGGCCCACAAGACAGTCACCGGGAGCCGCCGCTGCCGCCGCCGCCGCTGCCGCATCCCCGGCGGCGTCACCGGCAGCAAACCGTGCTGCTGCCGCCGCCGCCGCTGGCGGCGGCGGCGGCGGCATGGACGCTGTCCTGGGCGCCATTCGTTCTCGCGCCTTCCATCTGCGCTCCCGGTGAGTGTACGACTGGTTTGCCTCCCCGAGATAATCTCCCCAAGTTCTGCTGTGACCCCCTAATGTGACTCCTACGCCAGATTTGCATACTTATCACCATTACCATCATCGTTACTTTTATTCTTATTATCATTTATTATCATTCTTCTAATTATTATTATTATTATTATTATTATTATTATTATTATGATGATGATGATGATGATGATGATGATGATGATGATGATGATGATGATGATTTTTTCTTTTTAATTATACAAAATACCATTTATCATTGTTATCACTATTGTTATGATTTCTCTTCCCCTCCCCCGCCCCTCATCCCCCTCCGCCGGGTGGTGTGTACGTGGTCACAAAACACACACAGATCCAAGTCTGCGGCTGGGCCGGGCCGCAAGGGCAAGCAGCTCGCCGACGATGCTGCCGAAGCGGCGAGGTCGCACGCCCTGAGCCACAACCCGCAAGTAGGTCTTATTTAGGATCCTGGCTTCGTTTTGTTATATTTTTTATTTTCCCGGTTTCTCCCTTTTCTCTCTCTCTCTCTCTCTCATTTTCCACTACTTCAATTTTAGTATGTTTTCTAAATTCTAAGTTCTAATTAACCTAAGCCCTAAACCGCCAACTAACTCCAATCCTCAAATTCAACTCCGTCCTGGAATCCTCATCCTTGGCCCCCCTCCTCTCTGCTGCCGTACGTCCTCCGACGCCGTACTTGACCGTCAGGCCCGCCTTATCGCACGAGCCCAGCAGCTGCGGAGCGTTATGGCTCTGGATGCTTGCAGCAGCGCCAGCGACGGCGAGGGCGGCAGCAGCAGCGATGATTACACCGAAGGCGGCGGCGGCGGCGGCTGGTTGCGCGACGATCCGTAATCTTTCTCCCCATGCCGTACTGCATGTACGGCAGCTATTGGAAGATGGCTGGAGAGGCAGCGGGCGTGACGGGGTGGGTATGAGTGTCGTATGCCCCGTGGGTACGGGAGCAGCGCAATGAGGGGGCATGGGGTTTGTGAAATAGGGGTGTGCGAGGCGACGAGAAAGGGAAAACGGGAGAGCGGGGGTGCACAAAGGTTTTTTTATTTATGTGAGTGTGTGGACGGGCGTTGTTGTGAGAGGTGTCAGGCGGTGCAGTCCCTAATACTCTGTTGGTTGGTTCTGGTTGGGTGACCGTTGGTTCCGGATGGCGAATATTGCCCTTGCCAGCAGCTGGACAGGGGGATGAGAGGAAGGGAGGAAAGGGGGAGTGGGGACGGCCCTTCCAGTGGCGGGGTAGAGCCGGCGGGGCGGTGGCGGCGGCGGGCAGAGCCGCGCTAGGGCCGCGTACTGTTTAGGGGGCTTGGGGCGCTACACACATCACCGGGCGTTTAGGGCTTTACCCCACGGCCCTGCCGGCGGAGGAGCGGCCGGGGGGTCTTGGGAGCCGCTGCAGCTGTCGCAGCAGTATGCGTAGGTCGGTGGGTGGTGGTGGTGGTGGTGGTATTGGTGGTGGTGGTAGTGGTAGTGGTGGTGGTGGTGGTGGTGGTGGTGGGAAATGGAAAAGAAAGGGGAGAAGTTGAAGGAGAATAACAGCAGCAGCGGTTCTAGCTGGAGGCTTTTTATTCGTTTGGGGTGTGGATGGGGATAGGGAAAGGGTATTTTGGTTTTAACCAAAAGCATTTTGTGCGCACATGCAGGGCCAAAAGCATATTTTCGGTGGAAGCACTAGTTTTCGAGGGGAGATGTCGTACGGTTTGTCGTACTTGAATGCTTTACATTTGTTGCACGAGTTGCAATTTACACATGCAAAGACGGAAGGAAAAAACATGTGTGAAAAGACACAGGACTTCTGGCCGGGATCGGGAGCGCCACAGCCTATATAGATATCTAGGCGGGGCGGGGCGGGGCGTCCCGAAGTCGTGTCTTTCCAAGTGTGTGCGTGTGTGTCTTTACGCTCGAATGTCAGCAGCAACAGTTGCCAAAAAGTTGTCTTTGCTGCTTCACCCACGGACGCAAACGCGGATGACATCACTGTGTGCTTTGAACGGTTCTCCGCTCTTAAGGCATTGGTGCTTTTGGTACTCATGATAACGCGCGTGACGGTACTGCCGTCAGGATGTAAGGAGTACTTCTCCTTCTCGCTTTGCGGTTAATACCGCGCGCGTGAGAGAATGTCAGTAAATCCACGTGGCAGCGCAGACGATGTATTAACGGTTTGGCTATATACATGTCTGTACATGTCATTTCACATTGTTATTATTATTATTATTATTATTATTATTATTATTATTATTATTGTTATTATTATTATTATTATTGCATGGTTTGAATTTTTGTATTGATAAACGCAGCGAAGTACTTCTCTTGTTGCATATATAAAGAGGAAAATCCTTTCGATCCAAAAAAGAGTCGTCGTTGTGGTTGTGGTTGTGGTCGTCGTGGTGTGTAGCTTCCAGATATCTGCTTACAATCGCAACAGAAGAATGCAATAGACCGCAACAAACTTAGTGATTGCGCTGTTTTCAGTCCCAGCATATGGCTTTAGGAGCAGGGTTGGATTTAGGAAGGGATATAGTCGTCGCACTACTAATCCGTACCTCAACAAAAAGTTCATGATACCTAGGATTTCGAACGGCCCGGCAGCTGCAGGGCAGCATATAGGTATACATTGCGCCTCTGCACGCAGCTGTATATGTAGCAGCAGCAAAGCCGCAGCATGCAACAGCGTGCAACGGCGGCATGCAAGTTCCTGTGTGTGTGTGTGTGTGTGTGTGTATCAGCACAGCACGCCTGCCTGGCGACATATACATCTCCTAAAGATTTCGGTCCTCTAACAAGGCCAGGCAAGGCGCGCGTGCAAGACTACTAAAAGGTAAAATAAAACGACGGACCAAAAGGTCAAACCAGCGAGCCGACAATATATTTGTTGCATTTCTGGATTTCTGAAAAAATGGTGATGGATTGTTAGGGTGAAAGCTAAGGACGAAAAGGAACGGCGATGCAATATTCGAAGCAAGGGAACATTATTATCATGAACCCTGCCACGCGCGCAGTGGCACAGCCGCGAACTCGCCACGCCGCCAGCCAATGACGATTAAGGAAGGCGGCGGCGTTTACCGCTTCGAACCCCACCAGCTGCAAAGGGCTCGCCCACGTGGCGGACACCGCACAGGCGAACCCATCAGCAACTGTCCACACATCCACACACATATCCTTTTTGGCGTCGCTCGGTCTCCGGTCGCCATCGAGACCTGCTGAGTACTGAAGGCCCTTCGCCGCCCCAACGGTGCTCGCGATGGAAACATACTCGGCGTGCATACGAAAGACCACACAAAATACCCCCTTCCCCCCCCTCCCTACATGTCGATATTCCTTAAGAGTCTCGAGAGAAAACTAATAATGGGTGGATTTCCAGGAAGACCCGAGGAAAATACAATCCAACAATCCAAAACATGCACAAGCGAGCGAACGAGCGAGCGAGCGCGGGCTGCCCAAGGACGTATCCTAGCCTCGCGGGAAACTCAGCAGGGAAGACAACACACGTACACACATCGTACGGTTGCAGCATTCCTTGTAAGGGCACTCGCTTGTACGAAATCGTACTACCGTACTGGCACATCCGCTGTACTACAATACTCATCCCCCAAACTACGGACCGACTTAAGAAAAAAAATCTAGTCGAAATGTAAAAAACCACTTTCGTTTCGTTGTTTGGTTTTCATTCAGATTGCAGCCAGCGATGATGGTTTACGTCGAAAACCACCAGCCCCACGCTGCCTGCCTCGCTCCCAACGATCGTCCGCCAATTGTCCTGAAATTCCAACCTCAAATTCCAATAATCCCTAAAAAGCCTCCTTTTATGGAGGACAAAGTAAAGAACATTCTCTTATGACACCTACATAAAATCCTTTGGACGAAATCTCCAGGACGGAATCCAAATGCACTTTGAACTTCAATGAACCATGCATTTCAATGACCAAACAGACCGCTCTCAAACGCTCTTTTTAACTAAGCGCAACACAACATATACAACAACAACGCGAAGATTTCTTATGAAAACATTTCAAGAGACATTTAACAGCAGCCCTTCTTGCAGCATTTCTCAAAAAATCCAAAGTCGCCAAACATTGACATGGAGGGTAAGGGGGAAGCACGGGGAGGGGGAGGCGGCCGCGTCCCGCTTCCGCCTCCGCCGCCACCACCGCCGCCTTTTTATCGCATCAGAGAAAAAGTGAAGTGCAGCTGCAGCGTTGCCGTTGTGTTGCAGCATACATCAAATCCCATGCTCCACTCCAATATACTTTTAGCGAACGACCCCGCACATCTCATTATTATTGTTAGCGCCATTCTTTATACCGTAAGTGTACTTACTACTACTACTACAACTACAACAACAACTACTACTACTAGCATTCGCAACCGGTATTTATTAGCTGGCGTCGTGCGTGTGCTAATTTGCGGATGGCGCCTCTGCAGAATGAAGGACTACTACCCCTACAGAGCAGCCTTCGATCCTGTCTTGCTGGTTCCTGTCGGTTCTCTCCCCCTCGCCCCAGCCCAGCCCAAGGCCCCCGGCCCAAACCAGCAGATTTGAAAAACACACCCTTCTATTCCTTACCTCCCTTTTGCGCGCCGCATGCAGCAGGGCCGCATGCAGCAGGGCCGCATGCAGCAGGGCCGCATGCAGGAGGGGCGCATACAGCAGGGCGCCCCGCAACCTCACAGATCTCACGTCCCCCCTCTTTCCCCCTTTTTAGTCTTCCCCCAAAAATACAGCTAAAAAAGACACACTCAAGTTTTCTTGTAGCCCTCCACCCATTCTCTCGGCTCTTCCTGCCGTACTCCCCTCACATTCCCTTCATATTACCGTTGCATCCCCCGTCCAACCGGCAACCAACAACGACAATCATCATCAGTTAGCGACCCATTTTTCACAACCAAATTTTAACGACATGTAAACATCGTCTTCCCTCAATTCAAAAAAACTCAATCCAGGACAAAGAATTCCAAATTTTGTCGAACCTCAATATATTTCGGTGGTGAGGGCAAAAACCCAAAGTTTCAATTTTCAAATTGGCGCCGCCCAGCAGCGGCGGCAGCGCTGCCGACGCCGCCGCGGCTCGACGCAAGAAGAAAGGTAGCACGAAACCCTCATAGAGTCTCCCCGCCGTACCTCGGGAGGTGTCTCCAGGTTTTACACCCCTCTTCTCTTCCCCTCGCCCCCCTTCTCACCCCCTCCAGGGGGAGGGGAGAAACCCCCCTTAAGCCTCCTCGGCCGCCCGCCGCCGGCACTCTCTCCCCTACCGCTCTCCCCCGCCCTGTGTCCCCGTCGGCTCCGCCGCCGCCGGCGGCTCCTGCATCGCCGCCGCCGGCGCTGCCGTCGGCTGCGGCGCCGCGATGAGTACGGCATGGTTGAGTCCCACCTCCGCCAGCTCGAATTCTAACAGCAGCCGTCGGTCCCAGAGGTCCGGCCAGGCCCGTCTGCGCGCGGTGGGTGTCCCGCAGGGCGGTGACAGCGGGGAGGGCGCGGGAGGGGGAGGAAAGAGGGGGAGGAAAGAGGGGGAGGCCCGGGGCAGTCAGTCAGTCAAGTCAGTCAGTCAGGCAGGCAAGGGCGGAGAAGGTTCTTTCCGCGGAAAGAAAAAGGGTATCATGTGCCCGATTCATAAATAATCAGCGTACTAATTTGCCTAAAAACATTAAATTGTTAAAAAGAATTAGATATTAATTTGCCTAAAAATATTATTTCGTCAAAGAACTCGCTCACTTGATGGATTCCGCGCTTAGGTCTGTTAAGCAGCAGCTGTCTCTCATCGGCAAACAGATTCGAGACGGAGCAACCGTTGGCGGGATGGGAGAGCCGTTGAGAAGCGGTTGGTGAGAAGTGGTTGGAAGCCGTCGTACCTGGCTGCCAAGTCAGGCGGCGGCGCCGTCGCTGACGCGGACAGCCACCGCAGCGGCCCCAAGCTGACGTCATCGTCAATTCCGCAACTGCCGCCGCCGCCGCCACCTTTCAGCGGCGCCGGTGGCGGCGGCGACGACGACGGCAGCGGCGGCGGTACCGCTGCTGGTTTCCCAGCCAAGCTGTCCAACTCGGCTGCGGCGCCGCCGCCGTTTCGATTAGTTTGCAGCGACTGCGGCGGTGGCTGCTGCGGCGGCAGCCCGTGCGGCGGCGGAGGCAACAATGTGCCTTTGGCGGCGGCGGCGGCGGCGGCAGCCCGTGAGTTGCCAATGCAGCGGCGGAGGTCTTCCGCCAGCGCCGCCATGCCTGCCTCCGTCATCTCTGCGCTGTCATCGGCCTCATCGTCTGCCGTACGGCGGGCCAGGATGTCGTACGACGCCGGCGGTTCCACAGACGACGAGGCCAGCTGCGTCAAGGATCCGTTGCCGACGGCGGCGGCAATGTCGTCAGGTGACATAGACCGCTCCTCAGAAATGCCTCCGAAAAAACCTCGACCGCTGTCGTACTCCGTCGTAACCCCAACGAGCTTGTCGCCAAGGGCTCCGTGTGTCCAGCGCCTCCGTACGGCGGACGCGGTGTTCACACCGTTGCTGCCGCCAACGTGGCTCGGTACGGCGTCGCCTCCGCCGCTGCCGGTTCCCCCCTTCCACTGTTGCAGCGCCTGTTGCCGTAGCAGCCGCTGAAGCTCCGAAACCGTCATTCGCCGCTGCGGCAGTTTGGCGGCGGCCGCCGCCGCCGCCGGCGTCGTCGCCGCCAGGGGCTGCAGCGGCTGTTGCTCTGTGAGGCGACGCTGCACCTCTCGAGCTCCGGAAGCTCCGAGACCCGAACTCGCCATGGACCGTACATCCGCCACCAGCTGCGTTTACGTAGGTTCACAAACACACAAATATATTTTAACGCAAATAATGCACGAGAATATCGTACGTGCATGTTTATGTGCGCTTGCATATGTGTACATGTGTATACATGCAAGCATGCACCATTTATACACACATGCATACATTAGGGTTTGGCACTACTGGTAATGCGCGGTCATTGTCCCCGGTAGATCCCAGGATCGAGACCTGTCAAGGTCGAAAATCCTTCCGATGGTGGAAGGCATTGCGCCCCTAGTTGATGGACGGTGGGGTGACCTGGGATAAAGTTAACCTGCGAGCCGACCAGGAATGGAGTTGGGCCGCTGTCGACCCGGCAGATTCCGTTGGATGCTGGTGGTGGGTGCGAAACCTGAGCGATCCACTGAGAAGTCGGCTAGGGTGACTGGATGAGGGTGCCCCGAAATACCGGGGAAGGCAGGGTTTCGCAGGGTAGCTGCCACGGGCGAAGATACACCCCCCTGTTTCACACATCATACATACTGTACAACTGCCCTGGGTTTCCGAAGCTGCCGTACATGCCGTACTCACCTGCTGCTGCCAAGTGGGGTCCAACAGCAGTTGCGCGTGGCAGTGTTCCGGATGGAAGAGCACCTTGGCCGCGTAGTGGCGAACGAACTCCATCACCTTTGGCGGTCGGGGTGGTGGTAGGGGGCGTAGGAGAACACATCAATTTTATACATATATAAGCAAAGTATTAACATTGAAACATTACGAAACCTGGATTCTCGGGGTGTGTAGAACCTTTAGCATTATATTATTTGGCCCAAGACCAGATTTCGTCCGTTACTAGTGGAGAAGGTACGGCATGTTCCCTCCAAATCCCCCCTCTCCTACATCGCGTTTGAAATTGGACCGCCCACACCCCCATTTCCCCCTCCGTCCCCCCCCCCCCCGTCCCCCCCCCTCCTGCAGTGGAGGTTCTCCTCACCGCTCCCACGTGAATCAACTCATCACCGCCAGCCATGGTCACGAGTGTACGACAGGGTACGTCCTGTAGGGGGGATGTCGTACACAAATACATGATCGTGGTACGCAAGTCGGCACCTAAGGGTTAAATACGTCACCAGGTCGAAAAAAAATGTGAATCGCGAATTATTATAGGAATATTCCGGTGATCGAAAACAGAGTCTTTGACCAGACGATAACGCTGTCAATAACGCGGGAAAGGAAGGATCAAGGTTGCATGCCGTACCGCACGACATAAAGGCAAAAAACGTCGTCCGTAACATCTTTTTAATATCTTAGTAGAAAGTATCTTAGGAAATTTTTACAAATTACAAACCTAAAAACGCAGAAAAATTCTAGCAGCACGGCGGAGCTGAACTTTTCCTATATATTAACAACGATGCTGCAGACAACAGTCCTGTCGTACGGTGTCGTACATGTGGCCATAGGTTGAGATCGGACCAGTAGAAGCGACGAGCCATGGCGGCGGCGCAATGGAGGTCCCGTGAGACGAAAGCCCGTACAGAGTCCTGTTAGTTGGGTGGTTAGCAGTTGGGTGGTTAGCGGTTAGCCGTTGCAACTACGCGATTAGAGGAGTACTAATGACTATGAAGCCACGTGAACCTATCCATAGTCGCATTAGGACGCCCCGCGATGTGCTCAATCGTATCCGTCGTATCTTTCTTCTTTATCTGAGACTTTTACCTTTTCCAACCGACTAAGGTCCAATTAACGATTGTACGGGCGGCTGCGCTTCAAATTTGCGGTAGTGGGTTCTAAAAAAAGGGACCTGTGCGGCGTACGAGGTCTAATCATCCGACAATGAGCCGTGTGTTGTACAACACAAGCCACTGTGTTGTACACAAGCCACTGTCGTACAACGATGAGATGTACGGCAGGTCTGTATCTCATCGCATGGTTTGAGAAAATCTGTACGTACACACTTTACACAAACCTTCATCCCTATATTATAATATCCCACCCCCACCATCTCTCCCTTTTCCCCCTTCGCTATTTGCCGTACCTGAATCCAGTGTTGCAAACTGCTGGATCTAGGCGGCCGGTAAATGAAGTTGGCAAGAAGCGAAGGCAGGAACATTCTGTCCGCGACGGGGGGGAGGGAGATGAGATCAGGAGGGGGGGGAGGCGGGGAGGTTGAAAGGAAAGGAAAGTTGTTGGAGGGACATATCTTTATATTTATATACATATTTATTATATTACCAACTTCTTCAAAGTAAACTCGAGGATAAAAAATAAAGGAGTGTGAAGGGGCCACAAAAAGGAACTATGGAGCAACGGTCGAGTAACGGCTGCTGCAACTGCTGCTCAAGGATTCACACCACCCATACCTTGCCCGCCTCCATCGCTCTCTTTCCCCCCCTCCCCCTTTACCCTCCTCTTGGTTTGCTAGTCCCATCCCCCACACCCCACCCAAACCCCCCACACCCCACCCAAACCCCCCACACCCCACCCAAACCCCCCACACCCCACCCAAACCCCCCACACCCCACCCAAACCCCCCACACCCCACCCAAACCCCCCACACCCCACCCAAACCCCCCACACCCCACCCAAACCCCCCACACCCCGGGGTGAGACACCCACCCAAAACACACGGGGTCCA